CCCAAAACCCCAAAACCCCAAAACCCCAAACCCCAAAACCCCAAAACCCCAAAACCCCGTTTTATTAAAAATTTATTGAATAAAATTTATAAATGTAAGAATCAGATTGTAAATATAGATGAATTATGGATTTTCTGAGAACCAGGACAATCTAAATAAATCATCCGAGCATTTCAGAGCGAGTTTTGGTATTACAAACATCTAATTAATACTTAGACTCCAAAATTTATCAACAAGTTAATCTTAGACATTCTCAAAACTCAATTTCTAATAAGCAAGAGATACTAAAAAGATCAGCAAAGAGGGCTTTTAGTAGCAATTCTTTTCGCACAAAATGTCAAAAGCAGTACACTCCAGGAAAAATGAGTGTCCAAAACCACAGGAGCCATTCTTATCAACAAGCTGGGATAAGAGTTGGGCCAAAGAAGCCTAAGCCTAGTCAAAGACGTTCAAGGCAGGCTAAATCTAAACCTCTGTGCTCAAAATGAGTCCAACAGGTAGAATATTTGACTTAAATTAATAGAAAACTTGAAACAATCATAAATTCACAAAAATTGCTAAAAAATTTGAAAGATGACAGCAGTAAGTCTCTTAATCAACCTAAACGGTTCTCCAATTGCACAATGCTCTCTTTGTTGCTTTCTTAATCAATTTATGTCAAAATAAATATCATTTTGTAAAATAGACCACAAATGGGGAATGAATACAAGCCAAGTAAGAAGCAAAGACATCCTAATTTGCTTCTGAAAGGTACAAAGAAAGAGCGAAACTTATTCACACCTTCAAAGAATTCATCTAAATTGTAAGTGGTGCCTATATTAAATATTTTCCAATCCAAGATTCTTGACCAATCATTCCTGTAGATTCAATAAAGGACTGGTCTATGGGACAAGAAGAGAGAATGAGATGGAGCCAAGCCAGAGGACAAATGTAGCCCAGATTTCTCCAATGCATCAGAAGAGTTTCATAAGTAGTTCTTGGGGCCGTCAGGCCCCAACAAAACGACCTGAAACAATGCTGAACCAGCGTGGATCTAATCCTCAGCCACATAAGCTGAACTTGAATTTGGTTATTAATCATGAGAATATGACAATCCGGCCAGATAGGTAAAGTGGATCATAAATGATTTAGTGCAATGACTGCATCAGAACCTACAACTTTTCAAAATATCTCAACGACGTATTAGATAACCCAGAGATGAGTTTTATAAACCATGTATCAGCACAGCCAAATATTATTGAGAATCTGAACCATTTCAAAATTAAGGAGAATCATCAGTTAGGCATAACTTTTAAAATCTAGAATTAATGCAAGCTGTGATAGATTTAATCACAAAAAGAAATTGAAATGTAATAAATGACACTCCCCTCTCAAAGGAAAAGAAGCCAAAAAAATTAGAAACCAGAGAATGTAGGAATTCTAATTTTATGAATATTTCTAATAATTTTGAGATATAGGTTGCAGAATGCTACTTCTAACCCATTTTGACATAACCAGAAATAAATAAGACTTTATTAAGAAATTTAAAACTCATCTTAGAAAGCTCGAAGAACCCAAATAAACAACAGAAGTACCCAAGACCTGTCCATCCTTGCCAGAATAGTTGTTATCCTTTACCAGAATCTCCAAAGAAATCTTGTCATATATCGATCATAAACCTCCAATAATTTTTTCAATACATTTTATTCTTTTAGGGGTTTTGGGGTTTTGGGGTTTTGGGGTTTTGGGG